TCCCCCACTGGCTCCCTGCCATGGCCAACCTCTTGGTTTTCACCTTGGTCGTATCCATCAGTATCACATATGCCATAGCCCTCACCTGGTTCTTTGGCCAAATCCTTTGTGACATTTGGCTGTCTTCTGGCATCATGTGCTACACTGCATGGCCTCCAACTGTATCTCTGTGCAACTGCCCTGAACAGCTGAGCCATCACCAATGCCCTGTAGTATAACAAAGGCCAGATATGCTGCCTCCATAGTAACCACTGTATGGGCCGCCTTCATCTGTATCTCCATTCTGTTGCTCTTCTCCCAGGTCTCCTACATCAGCTACTCCACATATGGTGCCTTCCACATCTTGTCTGTGCTGCTCATCACCTTCTGAACGGCCTCCTGACACCACCATCATTTCAGCACAGCCCATTCATTGTCATTCACTCTATGCCCTCAACCCCATTCTCCATGAGGAGTGCTCAAATTCAACCAGCTCCCCTCTGTTTGTCAATCACAGGAAAATCCAGCTTACTAACAGTATACTGAAGCAAGGGAATATTTGCACCTCAATTAAGGAATGCCATAATAAAAAATTGTTATAGCTCTTTTGAGAACCTTAAACTGTCTCTAAACTTACTGTGTTCACTTTATTTTATCCTATGGATCTAAAAATTGAAGCTACTTCTATTTTATCAGCAAACAATGGTCCAGGAGATTCACAAATGTTGATTCTGATCACGTTAGTGCAGTAACTTTTACAACAAAGTAAGTAGAACATAATGGCTCTAAGCACTAAAAAATGACAAGTATAGAGGTAATTATCTTAAAAGAAGCAGGAATAATCTAAACCAGTTTTGAAAGTAGCTATGTTATCTATCTGATAACTGTTTTAAGACAAATCAAAGTCTGTAACATGACAAATGAGTGAGGCTGTGTAGTGTACTTGAATGAGCTCAGTTAGTGGCCCTCTACCTTCTCCTGCAAAAAATAAAGAGACTAGACTTGTATGATGTCTACAGTGTCAAAAGCTTCAACACATATTACCATCTAATCCTTCCAATGAGGAAGTTGTTGTAATGGGAAAAGCTGCATTCTGGAGTAAGATCAACCTTATGTCAAAATCTGAAGCTAACACTTTTTAGCTAAAGACTTATACAAATGAACCTCTCTCTTATCATATATGTCTGGGTTTGGTTTGTTTGTTTTAGATTTGTTTTTGTTTTGGGGGCAGGAATAAGGAAGCATGGGAGACAGGATACCAAAGTGTAAAAGTGTTTTATTAGTGGGTACAGAACTAATCTAATGAATCACCACTAACATTTTTTTATTTCTCTTATGAAATGGGAAAAGCTAGTTCGGAGTCCATTTCATGAAGTTAAGAGTATATTTTTTGAAAGTTTTGGTTTAGCTATGTCCTCTAAAGACCTATATTATATGTAGATACAGATGAATGTTATAGTGTATTACATGTAGAATATAACTTTATGTATGTAAAATATATTACCACAGCCTAAAAATTTAGCCACTGATTGTGACAGAGCAATCATGATCTAAAAGCTACTGCCAAAAGTGGCAAGCATTAAGTGTCACTATTCTATTTTTACAAACTATGGTTACTTCAGAATAATAAGCTGTTAATTCTAACTTCAAATCTCCAGTTGCAGTTATTAAAAACTTTCTTTAAAATGTTATTCTACTTAAAAATAAGACATGCATTACTTCCAAACAGCCTCTGGGTTCTAGCCAATATACTTATTACTTGGCAAAATCCACCATTACAAATGCATATCCTTTCACCCAGTAATTCTACTTCAAGGAATTTACCTAAAAATATACTTCACATATGGATAAACTATATTATGTACAACTTTTTTGGCAGCATTTTATATAAAAGCAGAAATTTTAAGCAAATTAAACAGCCATTGGTAGAAACCTTATTATAAAAAATGCAGTACAATGGAATTGGTAACAATGAATTAACCCTTGGTAGGAGTTTCAAAAAATATTAACACAAGGAAAGGAAGAGTAATAAGGATTGGTAAAATTTGTGTTGAAAGAGACATTTTTGCTTTATGTGGAACATAACATTTATAAAATGTTTCTTAAAGAATATAACAGGTAAACAGGAAAAAAAAGAATACATAATTTCTTGTATATCTGTAGACTGTTTCTGGAAGACTATATAAAGAACAGGAAGAGAAGTGAGTAGTTGCAGGGGAAAGGGTGAGAAGAATGTATGTATTTTATATATATGTATAAATATTTTAAATAATAAAATGGCATCTACTAACAAGCTATAGTAAACTGATATTTGGAGTCATCAAATTTTTACATTTACTTATAGAAAACAAATGAAAACCAAACTCATGTAATGTAGGGCATGGTCCTCTGTACATACGAGAGAAGCTGCATTTGAGGTTTTGTAAAGAGAGTTTTATTCCTTAACTATTGTTAGAGGTTAAAAATCAATTTTTTTTCTGAGAAATCAGGAAAACAATTCCATTTACAATTGCATCAAAAAGAATAAAATACCTAAGAATAAACCTAACCAAGGAGGTGAAAGACCTGTGCTCTGAACACTCTAAGACACTTATCAGAGAAACTGAAGGAGACACAAATGTAAATCAATCCCATCCTCATGGATAAGAAGAATTAATAGTCAAAATGGCCATCCTGCCCAAAGCAATTTACAGATTCAATGCAATCCCTATCAAAGTACCAATAATATTTTTCATTGAAGTAGAGAAAATAATCCTAAAATTCATATGGAGCCACAAAAACCCCAAATAGCAAAAGCAATCCTGAGAAAGAGGAACAAAGCTGGGGGAATAATGCTCCCTGACTACAAAGATAGAGTAATCAAAATGATGTGGTACAGGCACAAGAACAGTCCCAGAGATCAACAGAACAGAAAAGAGAGCCCAGATACAAACCCACACATATATGATCAATTAATATATGATAAAGGAACCATGAATATACAATGGGGAAAAGACAGCCTCTTCAATAACTGGTATTGGAAAAACTGGACAGCCATACCAGAGAATGAAACCAGATTACTGTCTAACTCCATACACAAAAGTAAACTCAAAATGGATCAAAGACCTTAATGTAAGTCATGAAACCATAAAAATCCTACAAAAAAACATAGGCAAAAATCTCTTGAACATAAATATGAGCAATGTTTTCCTATCATATCTCCTCAGGAAAGAAAGTAAAAAATGAACAAGTGGGACTACATCAAACTAATAAGCTTCTATACAGCAAAGGAGACCATCAGCAGAACAAAAAGGCAACCTACAGTATGGGAGAATATATTCATAAACAATAAGGGATTAGCATCCAAAATATATAAAGAACTCATGCCTCAACACCAAAAAAACAAATAACCCAATTAAAAAATGGGTGCAAGACCTCAACAGACATTTTTCCAAAGAAGAAATACAGATGGCCAACAGGCACGTAAAAAAATGCTCTTCATCACTAATCATTAGAGAGATGCAAATCAAAACCACAATAAAATATCACCTCATGCCAGTCAGAATGGCCACTATCCAAAAGACAAGAAATAACAAGTGTTGGTGAGAGCGTGGAAAAATGGGAACCCTCCTACCCTGTTGGTGGAAATGTAAACTGGTGCAGCTACTGCAGAAAGCAGAACGGAGGTTCCTCAAAAAACTAAAAATAGGAATACCATTTGATCCAGTAATTCCACTTCTAAGAATTTATCTGAACAAAATCACTTATTCGAAAAGATATATGCACCTCTATGTTTATCACCTCATTATTTACAATAGCGAAGTTATGGAAGCAACCTAAATGTCACCAATAGATGAATGATAAGGAATATACACACAATGGACTATTACTCAGCCACTTGGGTAAAAAAAAAAAAGGAAATCCTGCCATTTGCAGCAATATAGAAGGTATCATGCTAAGCAAAATAAGCCAGGTAGAGAAAGACAAATACCATGAGATTTCACTTATATGTAGAATATAAAAACAAAACAAAAGGAACAAAACAACAGTAGATTCACAGACATTGAGAAGTGATAGGTGATTACCATGGGGAAAGGGTGGAGGTGGGGAAGGCAAGGGGGATAAAGGGGCACAAAAATTCTCAATCATAAGCTGGTCATACGGATGGTAGCTAATGATTCTGTAACCTTGTCCTATGTTGACAGATAGTAACTGTACTAGTTGGGGGGTGAGGATTTAATAATATGAGTAACTGTTAAACGACTGTGTTGTATACTTGAAACAAAGATAAGAAGGAATATCAATGATACTTCAATTTTAAAAAATGGAAAAAATAAGTAACTAAAATAAAAAACAAAAACAAACAAATTGGGGCAATATCAAATACTTTTCATTCTATCTCCTCAATGGAGATGAACAATAAATACAAGTGTCTATTACAACTGTTGTCTCAAAGGTACCCCCTTAATTAAACTAAAAAAGAGGGAGGACAACTATTAATGCTTTACTTATTTATTCTAGAATTAGAATTTATTTATTCTAGAATTCTAGAATCCAATTATGATTAAGGTAAAAGAGCAAGGAAGTCCTTTCTTTCCCTGACACATGTACATTACATGCTAACTATAATAGCATGTTTTTCTACTCAAAATTGTAGTCTTTTAATAGATGGAGTTGCAAACACCCTAAGTCCATGTACTAAACTAAAATTCATGCCATTACAGTTTCAATGCAAGACAGAAGATCAGAAGAGGCAGAAGAATGTCAAGGCAACCACTTTGGCAACCAAAAAGGCACTTTTCAAACAGCAGCATGAAAAATACTACTGAAGATATTAATAGTGTTTTCTTTAAAATTTTAAAAACTGAATATGCAGCGCAGTTTTAACAATCTACCTATTGCAGTAAGAGTTTCAATTAATAATTGCAGAAACATAAACAGAGGAATGAGAAAGACCCTTTGATGGCAATGTAGTGATAGCTTGGTGATAGGAATGTGGGACAAGTTGTGGGACACTAAGCTCAAGAACACCTGCATCGTACCTTCTTCTGGAGAACGTTAACCTTCCGCTCCTTCACATCCAGCATGTCCTTGAGGTCATGTATCTCTCCAGCTTGCGTCCCCTTCTCCTCAGCCATGTCCTGAATTTGTTTTGTCTTCTTATTCAGCATGGTTTCTTTCTCTTCCAAACGCAATCGGAGAGCATCCACCTAAGAATGTAAGATTTTTACAAATAATTAAAAAGGAACAGAATTACTTCCAAACAGGTATGTACCAGTTGTTTAAATTACACTACTACAGTAAATGTTCATTAGAATTAAATAAAATGGCACTCTAAATATAATTATTATTTTAGAAATTAAGCCTTAAAACTTTATGAGCACTTTTATAATAAAAATAGAATTTGTATCAGTGAAATTTACCATGCTATCAGGATAAGTAGACCTGACCCAAGGGGACAATTGGAGAATTATTATTAAGAGGATGAGTTTTGCTACTTCTATAAAAGTAGTGTAATCCACAACTATATTACTCAAACTTTATGTGCATTAGAATCACTTGGCTCATATACACAGATTGCCAGGCACAGCCCCAGTTTCTGATTCAGTAGGTTTGCGCTCAAGAATTAGTCTAAGTCCCCAAGGATGCTACACTGCTTCAGAAAATCTAAAAAAGTTAGAAAGAAAACCACAAATATCACTAAGCATTACCCTTGCTGTATTGGATAATACAGTCTAGCTGTAGAACATAATGTCTCTGCACAGACAATCCCATAATGCACTTAGATAGCTGTGCAAGGCAAAGCAAAAAGCCCCAGACAAGTCAGCTCAAGTCTGGGATCCAGTTACCTTTATTCTCAAAGTTTCACAGCTCTCATTAGATGTAACTTTAACTAGATTCTAATGATATGTATTTTTAAATCCATTCACTGAAAATTTCATCAAGCATACTCACCACCAAATTTTCTCTTTTTTTTTTCTTTTCTGCTTATGATTTATAATTCAGCAAATAGTAACGCATTTGACCACAGGAAAACAGGGAGGTGGATTTCTTTTATCTTAAGACACTCTTGTTCAATAAAAATATAATGTAAATCATACATGCAAAACACACGTGAAATTTTAAATTTTCTAGCAGCCACATTAAAAAATAAAATAGAAATGGGTAAAATTAATTTTACTAATACATTTTAGTCTATCTACAATATTGTTGTTTCAAACATATAATCCATATTAAAAATATTAAGCTATTTTACATTTTTGTTTCATACTAAATCTTCAAAGTCTAATGTATATTGTAATTTATATCTCAATTCGGACTAGCCATAGTACTTTCAAGTGCTCAGAAGCCACATGTGGATGGTAACTACCACACTGACAGTATTCATCTAAGGTATTCTAAGGTATCAAATATGTTGCTATAAAACATCTTTAACTTTAAACTTGTCCTATATTATTTTTTTCTATCTGTGGATTAAACCTTCCCCCCATACACACACACAACCAGGTAATATGAGTAATGACTCAGATCTTGAGTACACCAAAACTCTAAGAAAGATGTACTAGTATGTCTAAACTATGAGGTATCAGAGAACCATATGTATGGTGGTATACTGCTCAGTAAGTATTATGGAAAATTTCCTAGGAGACTGGTCTCATTTGAGATTGCTACAGTTAAATCATTATGTACTTACAAATTATGCTGGACTATGCTGAAAGGGAAAAACACATCAATAAACCAGATTTCATAACACCAAACTACATTTCTACCAACTAGTTCAATATCACCAGTTTCAACAATGCAGAAATTGGAAAAATAACCTTTTTAGGTCTTATTTATAATTCTTCACCAAAAATCTACTATGCCCCCTCATTAAATACTTTTCTACCTCCAATTTTCCTCTATTCTACTTCAATAAATGATATATGGTTAACCTTATTATATTCTCAAAAGGTCCATAAAAGAACTTTCAAATTCTGAAAATCTCATTTTTGAAACATTATTCTTCTCTTCCTTCTACGCCTACTAAACCTACTCTTTGTGCATTAACATGATCTCTGATTCATCATCCCTATCTTTTTTGTTATTCATTGCTTTTCTGGTTTTACTTGTTTTTCTCCCAGTCTGGGCAATCATTTCAAACACAGCCTCTCATGATCTCCTTTTTTTTCTGTCATTTTTTTTTATAAGGTTTTTATTTTATAAACCTTTACTTTAATATATAAAAGTTTTTTTCATTCTGCCCTCAGACTTCTGAACTTTCCTGCATAAGGTCATGTATATGCTTGCCAACCATATGCATAGTACATTTAAAATCCTCACAATTCTATTCTCAAGCATCATTATTTGCTTCCTTTGTATTCTTCCCTGTGGAAAATGTCGCTCTCCCATGACAGCCTCGGACACTGGGACTTAGAGAGGAAGACACGCCCAAGATCTCACAGCTGTAAGTAAGTGGGAAGAACAGGGATTTAAGTGGTCTGTCACCAGATCCTACGACCTTAACCAGTAATTCTGTAATACTCCTTCCCTAAGAGCTAAACAAAAAAGATTATATATATATATGATGTCTTACACATAAAATTCTAGAAAATGCAAAGTAATTATAATAATAGAGAACAGATAACGGGTTTCCTGGGAATGAGGGAAGAAGTGGAGAGTAGTGAAGAACAGCAGAAACAAACAGGTGAATGGGATTACAAAGAGATACAAGAAAACTTTGGGGACAATATTCAGTATCTTGACTATGGTTTTGATTTCACATATGTGTCAAAACTTCCAAATTATACAGTTTAATATATGCAGTTTATGTCAATAAATTTTTAAAGCAAAATTAGAAAACATGGTATTGATACCGGAATAGATCCTTATAATAGAAATTCGGAGCCCAGCTACAGACCCACACATACAGGGACCCATACATATACCAAACAGAGGTGACACTGTAATCAGAAGAAAAGTATAGTGTATTCAATAAACTTTTAGACAACTGGCTAATCATACTGATGGAGGAGGGAGATCCCCAACTCTTATCATACACAGAAATGAATTCTGAGTGAATTAAAGATTTGTATATTAGAAGCAATCTCTAAAATTCTAGAAAGAAATACAGGAAAATACTTTTAAGAAATTCAGGCATGGAAGAATTTTTTCCTTTTTAAGACACAGAAAGGATAAAGTATAAAGAAAAAAATACTGGAAAATACATGGTAAAATTTAAAGCTTATGCACACATTTAAAGTATCTATTATACTCTCTGTATTTTTGCACCTGAAATAGTTGTTAATAAAAATACTAAGGAAAACAGAGGTGTATTTATACCTGCTTTTAAAAATGTAGATATTTTGTGAACTGCCCAAAGTTAAATATGACCGAGTATTAAACATGGATTTTCAAAATTTATGACCATTTACAATTTCTCCAAAAAATTTAAATACTTAGGTATTAATTTAACAAAACATGTATGGATCTGTATGCTAAAACTGTCAAACAGCTAATGAAAGAAATCAAAGATTATCTAAATCAGTTCTTTCCTGAACACTGTATGAAATGTAAACCTGACATGGGTCAAGATACCCAGCTCACTTAAAATCCTCCTCAAGGTTAAGGAAAAAGAAAAAACTATTTAGCAATGATACAAAATGTGTATTGCTGACAAACAGTAGAACTAAGTAAGTCAAGCCCAGTGAGTCCAAGACTAAAAATGTCTAGCTTTGATGCCTAATTTCAGCACTAATGACCTCAGAAGAAGAATTAAAGTTCAATGCAAAACAAAGATGAAATCCATTACCACTAATTTCTCCAGTGGTCCTTTCTAAAGTACAAGATGACCAAGTCTTTAAGTTTCTCTTGGTTTTCCTTCATCTAGCTATTAAAATCAGAAACACTCCACCATGCAAAGAAGAAAAAAGGTCCAGAAGAGATATGTCAGAAGAGATATTGATTCAACTGGGGGAAAGGACTGCCACCACACAGCAAAGACCTTTGCAGAATATGAAATTCAACAACCAGGCTGCTCAAGATGCCAAAAGAGTCCAGTGACCCGTATCCACTTGGCATTCAGACAGAGCTCAAGCTGACCTGAGTGGCTATTAATCCTATTTGACAGTATCAGATTTGGTTCCTATTAGGTGAATCTATTACAGAGCATCAGTCACAGTGAATCAAGAGGGTGCTTACTGAGTTCAATGACCCTTCTGCACAACTGAAGAAGTCAAAGTCTTAAAAAAGTACATATGTCAGAAATTTTAAAAATAAATAAATCACACACCAAATCATTTGCACCTAATTTCTACATTCTAATTTGTATTTTGTATACTATATATTCCACCTTGATATGTAACTATATATTCAAATATATCAACAAAAAACTAAGCAACTCATCCAAAAACAGTTTACCCAATATCCTCAAAAGGCACTATTAAATGTTTATTATAAGGGTAAAAAGCCCAGACACTTGTCTATTAGTTCTTCTCAGCATTAATTTCAGAAAAATGAAAGGCTTTCCAAGTGTGGATCAAGAATCAAGAAGCAGGACAACATCCCTCATTACTTCTGAATGTTTCTTACTCTGATGGTACCAATGTCTCATAGGACGATAACTATATTGCTACTTTCAGGTTAGATTCCTGACTCAGTTACATGACCCAGAAACATGCCAGTGCTAACCAGTCATAAATCCCTATATGCCATTTTCAGGGAACATTAAGTATGAGACCCACGGGACTTAGTGACAGAAAAAGGTAAAGAATGAAACCTCTTGTTATAAACATACAAACCTTTCATGTAAGAGTAGCTGGAAATGCAGGCTTTGATATTTTTAAAAAAAGATTTCATATCACAAATATTAGGCATAGAAATTACCCAAGCCTATGCTCAAATCACTAAATGATCTTTTCTTTACTAAGTATTCAATTCAAATCACCTGTGTACACTTTTTCTTTGTCTGCTTTTTCATGCACTGCAAAATTTAAATGTTCTGGTCTAGAGATCTGAGGGAAAAACCACCATGAAAACCACTTTGCTACTCCTAGGTTAACTGCTCTGATGCTACACTGATCCTTCGCAGTTTGGAGTGAACTGAGTTCACGGAATAATTTTGTGTGAGGTCCCTATTTTGCAAACCACAGAAAACATATTCAGGAAAGCCCCTCAGAGACTTTCTGATCACAAAATCATTCATTATTTTAACCTTTGTTAAAGCCTATCT